GCCAAGGAGACCTCCGACTGCGGGCTTGTGCTGCCAGACTTGCCGCTTAACTTGGCTACTACCCTCGTCTCCTACTCGGACGCTTCGCGGGCAAACTCTCCTGGAGACCTTCGGTCACAGTTTGGCGTGCTGGTGTTCGCGACAACTCCCCAGGTGACGAACACGCCGTGTCTGGGAAGCCTCCTCGACTGGAAGTCGGGCAAGAGCGCTCGCGTCTGGCCGAAGCACGCTAGCAGCCGAGGCAATGGCTGCAGACGAGGCAGTCGACCGGCTCCACTTCACGAACCTCTACCTCACTGAGCTGCTGACTGGTGAGAAAGCTTACCGGGTAAAACCCTGTTTGAGGATGCTGCACGTAGTAGACGCGAAGTCTTTGTATGACTCGTTGGTTCAAGAAAACCCTCAGACGTCTGAAAAACGTCTCCTCGTCAGCATCAAGAGCATTCAGGATAGCGTAGAGCCTGACGCGATCCATTGGGTCCCGACAGATCTCATGAGAGCAGATGCTCTCACCAAGCTTTCTCCAGAGCTGATGCAGAGTTTGTGTGAGTGGTTCGCAGTGCCTTGGCTAGTGCTCAGACAGGTCAAAGAAAAAAAGACCAGTGTTAAATTTGAGCCTTCTGCCGTGTGTGCTGATTGACCTGTGAGCACACGCCTTCGGGCATCTTCGGCCCTTTTCCTCTCGAGGCGGGCCCACTTGAGCTTCTTACCTTTGCGTAGCGAGCAAACATGTTGCGCTGAGTGCTTGTGACTTTCACGCTTTTCAGCTGTGCGAGTGTTAAGTCGAGAGAAAGGGTGGGGGCACAGAACAGCGGGCTTGTCTTTTTCTGGTCGCAGTGTCGCGGCAGGTGCCCTGGACGTTGCTGCGATGCTCCTGCAGGCGGTGGACCTGGAGCAACTCAGGCTGGACCAAGTGCTGTAGCCACCAGCTTCCTTCTCCAGCTGCGTTTGAAGGCCGTCATGGTTGGACAGTGGGTACAAGGCCAGCAAGGAGGAAACGGGTGCAACAGTTAATGAGGCAGCGAAGCCAACCTCCACAGACACACCAGCGTCAAAAGCAACTTCCCTGCCCGACCAAAGCAATTCACAGACAGGAGTTGCACCTTCCGACAAGGGAAGGGCAGCTCCAGCAGAGGCAGATTCCGAGGCATATGCTATAGCAGCACAGGCCTTGTGGAAAGCTGTGGATCAGAGCAGGGTACAGGCAGAACCGACGCCCACCCAAGAAAGGAAGCCAGCTCCTCCAGAGGCAGATGCCGACGCGTATGCCACAGCAGCACAGGCACTATGGAAAGCCGCTGATCAGAGCAGGGCACAGGCGGGAACGGTTCCCGCGCAAGACAGGAAAGCTCCTCCTGAGGCAGATGCCGACGTGTTCGCCACAGCAGCACAGGCCTTGTGGAAAGCCGCTGATCAGAGTAGGGCACAGGCAACCGTGCCCGCCGAAGAAAGGAAACCAGCTCCTCCGGAGGCAGATGCCGACGCGTATGCCACAGCCGCAAAGGCACTATGGAAAGCCGCTGATCAGAGCAGGGCACAAGAAGAAAGGAAGCCAGCTCCTCCCGACGCAGATGCTGTTTCATATGCCACAGTAGCAAAGGCACTGTGGAAGGCCGCTGATCAGAGCAAAGTGCAGGCGGCAGCGACACCAGGAGAAGAGAGCAAGACGAAGCCCGTTGCAGAAGCAGATTCTGCCACGAAGCCAGAGCCAACGCCTTCCGACACGGTCGCAGAAAGAAGTGCAGCTGAGACAGCGAAAGCACTGACTGAAAGCAAGGCAGACAGTTCCTCCGTCCCACCGGCAAAACCCACTTCGGTGCCAGCGGCAAGCACCAACGAGACACCGCGAAGTTACGTGGATCCTCTGCCTGCTGTGGAATCTGCTCCTCAGCATGGTCTTCATTGCTCGTTGAGTCGGAATGAGTGCGGGGTTTCCGACGCCCAGGCATGTCGCTTGGGAACAGATCCAGCTGCCGCTGTTGCGAGCGACCTGAAGGTGGTGAAGCTCACCATTGTGAAACAGATACCGTACTCCCTTCAAAAATCGTCCAGGCCCTGGTGCAGAAGCACACCTTCCTGAATCCGGCAACGGCCAAGTGCCGGCACCCGCTCCATTGCTGGGTGAGCCGCTGCGCGCAGGCCATGAGTTGCCGGTCTGCGAATCGCTTTCTGCTGGAAGTGCAGGTCTTGCTGAGCGACCCCGCAGAAGCGCAGGTGTGAAATCAAAGATCTAGTTTGAAGTCCAGAGCGTGCATGCTGTGCCTCAGGCTTGCCTTGCCCGGATCACCCGTGGTGGCTCAGCTGCATGAGTCGTGCACGTCACGAGCTGCGGGTGCACGGCAGGATTGCGTGTTTGATTGTATGTGGCGAGAGGGTTCTGGTCCAAGAGGTCTTGATCTTGATCGGCATCGCATCGACACTGCCTTCCGCCGCTTCGACGTGGACCGGTGTGGGACCCAACTCCCGAGAGTTCGACGCAGGCAGATGTAGGCTCCCAAACTGCAGCCGGTAGAAGCGAGGTCAGATCATCTGGATGACGGCGAGCTAGCACGCCTGGCAGCTTATCTTGGCTTCGATGTGGACCCGACGGAGTTGGACCATGACGAAAATGGCACCGGCCTCAATTCCTAGATTTTTCAGCTTAGCTCCTTTGCTCGACCGAGTCCAGCCCCGTCCCGCTGAGGCAGCATCAGCTTGGACGAGTTCCAGGACTTTGTTGGCCGCATGGGGGGAGAGCCTTGAACTGAATTGCGACACTTGCGAGCGACTTACTCGTAGCAGCCGAAGCGCTCCGTAGTGGAATCGCTTGCGCCGACCTCTTTTGAAGAGAGAGCTGCGTGCGCGGCACCCCGCGCCCCGTGGCGCCGAAGCCGAGGTGCAGCGGCTCTTCGAGCAGCGCCGGCAGCAGGTCCCGGCTCCCAGCAACGCTCGCGCCTGCTCTCGAGCTGCAGCTGCTTTTGTCGTCTCGCAGGTGGCGAGTTTGCGGCGGGATGCGACCAGCCTGGCGGGCGTGGCCGTTGGAGCGCGGGTGCGGAGCCACTTCTATGTCGCGTGGACAGCACTTGCAAATGCCTGCAGTGCTTCAGTCCTGCCCTCCCCGGACTCAGGCTGGCACAAAGCCTCATCGCACAAAGTCTGAAGAGCCTGAAGAGGCGATAGTCATCGGGGTGCACTTCAAGGGAGAAGAAGACATCGCCTGCCCTTCTCAGCTGGAAGTGCAGCTAGAGTTCTTGAGGCACGGCAAAACGACGAAAAGACTAGACCGTGCTCGCGACTGTTCTTGGAGCCGCAACTCCCACAGGAGCGGCCGCAAGACTTGCGTTCCGGCACACTGGGTGGTGAGCACGGAAGAGGACGCCGAGGTGGCGGCAGCCCTTCGTGAGGCGCCTTCCCCTGAAACCGCACCTGTGCCCTGTGCCTGTGCAAGCTGATGAGAACGCGGGTCCGCGATAGGTCGGCATTCACGAGGAGGACCAGGGTTTCTGGGACTCCATCTACCCGGCTTCCGAGATGCGCGAGGCACGACCCTCGGCTCTGACGGCCGCGCATGGCAACTCAGAGCCGGCAGGTGTGCCGTCTGACGAGCTGCCAGCGCCGGGCCTTGTCACAGGTCCGAGCACATGCCACAGCCAGCCACGAGGACCCATCCCGAGCAACGTCTTAGGCGACACGGATCGCTTCTCCTGTGAGGATGCCGAGAAAAGAGTACTGGCTCGCTTCGAGGAGATGGGCTTCAGTGACAAGGAGCTGCAGGCGGACTCGTCGTTTCTCGCAGCTTCTCGTGGTCGGAGATTTAATGGTCTGTGGCAGGCTGTTCTGAGTTGGATACAAGACCTCGCTCCTGTCATCATCCATGTCAATATCGACACCGTGGGTCGCTTTCTGGAGTCCGATGAGTACTACAGGACTAGTCTGCTGATGTGTGGCACTGCCACCGCGCAGATGCTTCTGCAAGTTTTGTCAGGAGCCAGTTTGAGACCAAGACATCATATGGAGCCATCGATGAGGGCCACTTGGCGCAGCAATCGGACCAGGATGGCTCTTGCATTTCATTCGTACAGTGTACTTCCCCGCGGACGGACAGGAAATCAGACGCGCATTACCTGGGAGCGTGACCTTTTCGGAGATGCGTATGACGATGCCAAGCCCTTCGAGCGATGCAAGTACGGTGCTCTGAATGTCACTGGCAGCATTAGTAGAGGAGCCGGTGAAAAAAAACGAGAAGGAACAAAGGCAAGGGACACTTCGGAGCTAAAGTGACCCTCTGCTTGTGATCGCCACCTTCCTTCTTGGGGTTCCACGTTCCTGGGCTCGTCTCTGGATGTGGATCTGACTTCAAATCTATGTCCATGACAGTCTTCATGTATCTTTGTGTGTGGAACAAGGGGAGACGGGAGCACGATGCCTTAGATCCACATCACTCACAGCACGAGAGCCGAAAAGCCAGGACAACTATTCATTTTGGCCGATTTTCGGTCTTGGTGAGGCATCGCCTATACGCCACGGGAACGCTGTAGGAGAATTTTGAGAACAGCTCGCTGAGATTGCTTTGCTCTCAACTCTCGATCTCAGAGAGGAGCCTGATAAAACATGGTTAAACAAGCAGATGGGGCACGAGAGGTTGGAGTCAGGAGTTCGACCAGAGGCATCGCAGGCTCCAAGTTCGTGCAAGCCTCGGGTTGGGTCCGAACGCAGAGGGGACAGCAGCCCGACGGAATCGGAGCCCACGGCCCGAAATGGGAAGCTACAGTGGAAGAATGAATCGATGTAAAGTCGTTGGCTGGATGCGGCAGCTGCAAGCTTGACGGCGAAATTGGACTAATTCGTGTAATTCGTGACTGGTGTCACACACCGTGTCGGTACGTCACATGTGCGTGGCGGGTAACTCAGGTCACCAACGACTTCGAAGGTTGCAAGCCGGCCTTCCAATATGGTGACTCCTACCTGGTCCTCAAAGATGTCCGGCTTCGCTGTACCTTCGCGCCTGAGGATTCTGGAGGCATCTCAGGCTCGAGGGATGCACAACACACTTGAAGGCTGAGGGCCAGTGGCTCGGTCTGCTCTTCCTGGCCCCTCTCGCAGGATCCCGACTGGCAGTGCTCGACAAGTATGCGCACGTGCCTCGCAGCAGGAAGTGGGCATGTGGGGAACTGGCAGGGCCGACCAGTCAAGGTGCAAGAATCATTCGGGGACGGGAAGCCGGGATGCCGAGGTGTCTTTTTTTTTTTGAGGGAGGCCCTGAGCCCTCTCTGCGTGTGCGCTTTGGCGCCAACTCGAAGGACGAACGATTTCCGCAACTGCATGGAGATGATAACGTATTGATGTTGAGGTGTGTTCGTTGCGGGGTGGTCCGGCTTCCAGAGGTCGGGGTAATTCCTTTTAGTCACGAAGTAGGGAAGCTGCATACCTCTGCGTCTACCTGTGTTTAGAATACGGTCTTTGTAAGCAGAAGCAAAGACTACACTGTAGGGCCGATAACTCTCTGGGTCCGTATCTGCGCCTGTACCTTGATAAATGGAGACGACTACAGCTTCTGCCCATGTGTGCGGTATGGTCCCTGTTTGCCAAGCGTTTGTGCAACTCCAGTAGTAGGGCTACGTTCTCATCATCTAGCAGCAGCCAAACTTCATTGGGGATGGGGTCTGGTCCACTGGCTCTGTGTTTCAAATTTCTGCAGTGCTTGTTCCAGCCCTGATAAATACCGAACTGGTCTTCATTGGGGAGCGTGTCGTGGAGGTCTGGCCTGGCGTCTCTCCGTTGGGCCGTTTCCGCTGCTATGTTCTGGGCCGCCCACTGTTTGTTCTGCAGAGGTCTCTGAAAGCCTCGTGTGTTTTAGACCATGGCTGAGGCACGCCGTCGACTATGAGATGTTTTTCAACCCCAACGAAGCCTCGTATGCCGAGGTGTTAGAGGAATACGAAGAGGAGGAGATTCGCAAGCTCGTGGATGTGGCCACAGCGCCACCTGCACGTCCCAGCTCAGAGGCTCCACGGCTGCTGCGAGGCGCCTCGGGAAAGACGAATCTGCGATCTCTGTTCGCCTGCAACACATCCGAGGCAGTACTGAAGATCCCACACAGCAGTGGGTTACGTTCGGCTTCCCGCAGCTGAAGCGCAAGAAAGGCCGGAGCTTGCGAGAAGCACAGTGAGCGGGCGAAAGAGAAATCTCAAAAATCCGCGAACGGTGTCGCCGGGTCCGAAAGAAAAAGGGAGATCCCCATGTGGCCCCAGGGACTTTGTCGCAATGTAAGGAAGCGCTAAAGTCGGGACAAACCCAGCAAATGATGCCGATCTAGTTAGTGTATGTTAGTGTCGTGAAAGTCGGACACATGAGACCTGCCGGGCAGACGGTAGAACAGATGAATTCTTCGACTTTCTCTAGCCTAAGAGAGCGAACCCCATTCTCTCAGCCACAGAAAATTAGAGACAACGACATGCCGCTTTCCGCTGAAGCTTCAGCAGAGCCAGGCGCCCTCACAGGGCGGGATTTGATCTGTAACTCCCCAGCCCGGCAAGATGAGATAACGATGGCGAGTTCGTAGAGCTAAGCACATCCTTGGCAAATGCATGGGGCGTGCGGACGTGTGGGGCAGCGCAGTGCGCAGGCTGTGTGTTCTTCGAGGTGGAGCTGGTGGAGGGCTGCTGTCTGCCCCAGGTCCGGTCGAACGGTCGAAATTCCACAGACTCTGATCTCTCTGATCTCTTTCGCTTCCGCGCTCGCTTCCGCTTGTGGTGCAGGTTGGTTTGGCCAGCGAGGAATTCCAGTGCTCGCCTGGTGTCCAGTCCAGGTTTGGGGTTGGCGACGATGAGTGCAGCTGTGGGGTTGATGGCATGCACGGTGCTGACCTTAGATTCCTGAAAGAGTCGGCATCGGGCACTAGCACGGCAGCCGGTGTGTCTCACAGCTATGTCTCGGGACTGAAAGGTGCATGCCTCAAGGGTGGGCCGTTCTGTGCCTGGAATGATGTCAGCTGGAAGAAGAAGGAGTCTGAAGCCTACTGGGAGGAGGATGGCCAACAGCTCCTCGCCGAGACCGTCTCCTGGCCTCAGTGGTCACGAGGGAAGCCGAAAATACGGAAAGAAGAAATGATTTTCAATTTTCAGCAGTTCTACAGAGAGAGAGAGGGAGCTTCAATTCTAAGCCTCTTAAGTTGCAGTTCTTTGTTGCAGCGGGGGTGCCACGTGTGGTCCTGTGTAACAACAAGAAGCCTGGAGCCTGGGAAGGAGGTGCGCCTGGGAGACAGGCTCAGATGTGCGGCAAGAGACCATGCCGACCATGCCATTCTGATGACAGCAGATTGGAAGTATGGCCCAATTGAGTCAAAAGCAAACAGTGCTGTTCATCGTCATCATCGTCATCATCAGCATCATCTGCATCATCAGGTCAACAAGTGAAAGCCTCGGCCCGAAATCCTCCAGATAATCTAGAGGTCGTGGTCGGCGTCGTGGTAGACTTTGACTTGAATGCTGTATGCTTCGCATCGAATGGGGCGTGGAGCGAACCGTGGAAGCCACAGCTCTTGCAAGAGGACATGCCCTCGTTCTTTGAAGGCCTCTACCCGGCGATCTCCGTGAAAGGTCGTGCCTCCTTCCAGTTCGGCCCAGATTTCAAGCATCCGGCCCCGCTCCTTAGCTGCATTTTTCGATGCATGTAGAGCCCCGGGAGCAGGACTTGGACCACCGAAATCTGCAGAAATCTGCAGAACTCGAGGAAGTCCTACAAGTGGGACAGCTGGCCTGGGGCTGGTCGCGGGCGGATCCCAATCGACTGCCCGGCTGTCGGAGATTCGAGCGTGCTCTCCATCTACAAGGACGAAGCCTTTTCGGGTTCTTCTTTGCAGAGTGCTAGTATATGGGTTCATCTGCACATCAGCTTGTGGCCGAACACCTGTTGGGAACGGGATGTTTCCCACCTTCGGTCTCTGCCACCATGGCATCTGTGCCAGACGTGTGCAAAGCTTTGCCAGGCTTAGGTTTGAAGGCATGTTTTGAGTTTCGGTTGTCCAGGAAGCCCAGATCCATGGCGAGGTGAGCCTGAAGCGAAATGTGCTTCGCTTGGTTGCTGCGCAGAAGTACAAGCAGAAGGCTCGCTGCTGGACCGTACAGGCAGGAGTGGAGAGTGGTTGAGTGGGTGGAGCTCTCATAAGTCATAAATTCTCTGCCCCAACCGGGCTCAGACAGGTCAGCAATGCGGGACGCTGCAGCGGCACCTACAAGTGGTCTGGGCGGCACAACAAGCGTTCCTTCTACAGATCACCTACCGGTGCCATCATCTACTACTGCGTGGAGGCTGACCTTTTTGACTGTCGCCCTGTCAGCTTCGATGCAATCCCGGCTGTTGCGGCGTGCCCTGCGCTCTGCCCTGCGCTCTGCCCTGCGCTCTGCGCGTCCTGCAGGACACCTCGTGGCACATGAACGACACTGCCGACACAACCGGCTTTGTTTTCCGAGCTCCAGTAGAGGCGGTCCACCTTAGCAGCACTGGCAACACTGGGCTCCTCTCTGTGGAGCCGCCCCGTGGTGGCTGGAAAGCAGCATTGGAGTTCAAAGGCGGAGTTGGGTAGGTCCGGCAGCTGTGAGGGAAACCTGCCACCTTCGTCTCACCAGGATGCGTGCGCCGAGACGTTTTCAAGCCAGCCATGCTGGCCCTGGCGGTGCCCGAGGACGAAGCCAATGCTTTGATGCAAGTCACGCAGATGCATCTGGAGACTTGCTAGGTTGCCTTCAGTAGGAGTTTGCTGGGAACATGTCTGAAAAACTCTCTTGGGGATGGTTCTGTCTGCATACTTTTGGTGATGTCTCAGGTACTTTGTGCTCAAGCTGGTAGTGACAAAGACCTCATCTTCCGCAAACATGGAGTGTCTTGGGGGCAAGGCTGCAAGTATAGGAGGTGGAAAGTATCGGTTCCAAAGCCATGGTCGGAAGCTGCAAAGACTGACCGTGCATGTTGGCCATGAGGCTTCCTCTTTCAGGGCGGAATGGTCCAAGCTGGCGCTGCGGCTGGCGGCGCGCGGCGAGCCTTTGGCGTGCCGGGTCCCAAACGCTGCCGAGGCCTGGAATGAGGCCAGGCTGGCCGGGAGGGTCGGACAGGCTGAGGGATGCTGAGAGTGTCGGAGAACCAGAAAGTAAGGTGTATAGGCTGAGAAGCTCCATCAAGTCCCCTATAGAGCACAGCTGGAGAATTGCTCGAGACATGTTCATGTTGCTGCATGATGCTCTTCTTTGGCACTGTCGCATGCGGATGCTCAGGTCGTACGATCTGCACAGGCTCAGTTGCTGGAAAGTATCGGCCTGCCTCGGTCCACTTGCGTTGCCGTTCGCCTGCACACAGAATTCAGGTATTGACAGGTGTGCATGTTTAGCTAACCCTTCCATCCGCCATCCATTCCACGGAGCGTGGTGATCGAGGCTGTGATCCGCAGTGAGCAATGCCAAGATACCGAGAAACGGTTGTGCATCTCTTTGGGCCCCGGGGCCACAAAGGAAGCTGGAGGGATCATGCTGGCATGGAGGAAAGACTCTTTAGCTTCTGCCTTCGTTGTTCTGTGCTTCAGGAGGCAAGCAATGGCGTTGCCGTGCATGTCCTGAGACTCCAAAGCCTCCGGGGCTGGATTTTATGTTTGCATGTTGGGCAATGTTTGCAGATGAAAGATATAGAATATTAAAGAGTTCGTGTGTGTTGAGGCACAAGTCTCGACATCCTCCTGACTGAACCGCGTCTGCCCTGGCGGTCAGCTGGTCCCGGTGCTCGAGCTGTGGCGATGGTGTCAAGCAGCTGCCGCTCGTCCCCGTGAGGGTCTTCGCCTCTCGTCTCGTCTTCCGTCGCTTTGCGCTTTGCGCTTCGCCAGGCTTCCTGAGCTCTTTCGGCCTCGACGTACCCGGCACCGTCGTGGAGAGGCAGCAGCTCAGAGCCTCAGAGCTCACAGTCCGGAACCCTTGCCGGAGTCTCCCGTCTCCTGTGAGGGGCCCTGGAGCACTTCGCCGCCTCGAGCTGGAGGAGTCCGAGGTTGCAAGGCCGCGCCGCGACTTGCGACACGCTGTTGCCTCCTCCTTCCAAAGAGTGCGGCTGCCGCAAGCGCCCTCCCCGCGCGCTTTCAGGAACGAGATCTTCTGGCCACTTCAGGAAGCTTCTGCAGAAGAGGCGCCATGCGATTTCAGGAAGTGCCGAGCCTTGCATCTGCCACAGCCCCTTGCGTGAGCTGCAGCCCTTTGAAAGAGCCAGGGAATCAGCCCAGCCGCCTGAGCTTCGGTAGAAAGCATAGCTTCCGCAGTTCCGTGGAGCGATGTGGAGCTGCGTGTGGGCATGGCTTATGCCGCTCATGTGCACAGCAGGGCCAGCAGTTTCTCTGCAAAATCCAGAGGGACAGGACCGGCATAGGGTAGTATAGGGGTTCTTTTCGACTGGCAGGGAGTTGTCTTTCGTCTCTGGCCTGCCATGAGCACTAAGTTTGTTTCTCTGAGATGAAGTTCTCGCCTGTGCCGCCATTTCAACACATTTTCTCTGGCCAGGAGCTGGTGTTCTTAAGGCTGGCTGTGAGTGCAGCCCTGTTTGGACCTTTCGCGATGGTGGAGAATGAGATGGTCTTCCAGAATCCAGAAAATCGGACAATGGAGGGTCACTGGCTCAGCTCGGTTGCCTTCATGTTCACATGCCTCTTCAAGAGCACTGTAACGCGGTGGCGCGCAGCGCCCTAGAGTCGGTCGATCTTCGCGGTCCAAAGTTTTTGTTGGAGTTTTCTCATGCGATGCCCCGGCCCAGTTCCTTCCATATGTCATGCTCCTGCTACGGTCCGTCCATCGGGTTTTCTCCACACCGTGCTCTCGCCAAAGTGTTGCGCGCATTGCGGTGCAACTCTGTTCCCTTGGACCTCCGGCACTCTGGCCACGGTGCCGCGCAACACCGTGAGTAGTTTGCGGGTCTCTCCGTGTTCTCGTTGGATTACCGGTCGCCGAATGGAATACCATCATAGGGCGGTCTTGGAGTGGTTTTGGGATGTGGCCCCATGTGGTCCTGAAGTGGTCTTCCAGATGTGTAATACGGTATGCGGTGTGTCACCTTTGGGGTCCACACGGCCATGTAAAATTTTGAAACAGCTTACCGACCCTTCTCGCTTTCCATGCCTCAGGACGCTTCTCCTTCGCTTTGCCCATGGGAGTGGACGGCCCAGCCATGCCAAGCCGCTTTGCCATGCAGATCGGAGAGAAGCTGATGGAGGGAGAAGTGGTCAACAGATCCAAAGCGCAGCGTGTCTACAGAGAGATCCTGCATCAAGCACGGGATCCAGCTCTCCTGGAGCAGAGCCAGGTCGAAGGTTGCAACATCCATGTTCTTTTTCGTAGCACGTTTCAGCATTCTTGCGCTTTGAAATCTATTCCAATTCTAGCATCTTTCGGGCTTCCGATCTCGGCAGATGGTTGCAGATCGCACCTGCACCGCAATCTGTAGTCCTCACCTTTCTGCCACATGGGAAATCGACAAGTCTGTCCAACACCCCACTACACTGCAAAGAATAAGAAAAACGCTTGCCCCGGCTCCCGGATTCTGTGGGACACTATGGGACGCTTTAGGACCTTGATCTGCTCGGCACGTCAACAAGAATCTAATACCACTTCGTGGGCCCCACTGAGATCCCTGCCTCTTTAACATTGGGCTCCATGGATCTGCTCATCCGCCTTGACTTGTCAGGGCAACATCTTCACGGCGAGAGTGTTTCCAATTGCACCACGTGCTCTGGTACGCTTGGTACTCTCCTACACACTCACAATTCCATCCAGAAAGACTTATCGCTCGCTGCAGATTCCCATGGCCGGTCTGCCCGAGATCAAGAACCTCACCTTTGTGGCTGTGACGCAGACGTTGGGCGATGGTGGTTTCAGTGCCAACTGCACCCTGCCCGAGGTGGGCCAAGTGTATGGCGTCATGGATGGCGACCTCATGCGCTTTGCGCAGGAGATGGGCCCCGTGGTACCTCTCACAGATGCTATTGTCGAGGTTTGGGACCCGAATGTTGCTAGCAAGTCTTTTGCTGCGGGTGATGGGCAGCTGGTAACCTCGTATGTTGTTGGAGATGATGTGGCTGCGCCCACCACTGCACGATTCGAGCCCTCCAGTTGGATAGTTTATGTGGATACATCTGCTTCCACTGCAGATTCTTTCGTTGTAAGAACTCCTCTCATCGAAGCGCTCTTGGATGCCATGCCGGCAGTGGATGTCAGGGTTCTCGCCTTTGACATTGAAGTGGAAGAGCTGTGGCCACTGGGTCCCAAGACCAGCGCAATCGGAAGCAGCGTCCGTGCAGCCCTTGAGGCGCCTGAAAGGGAGTTGGGCGGCGCAAAAAGGCGTGAGAGAGAGTCGGAGAGTCGCCCTGCGAGGCCCGTGGACCGCTTGGAGCGACAGACCTGGAGCTGCTCCTGACGCACATCCAAAGCAACCCTGGGACCGTGAACGAGACAGTGGGCGTGTTGATTTTGAGCGACTTCATAGCGACGGCCAACGAAAGAGCAGCGATGAAGTGCCTTTGAGGCATCGAGGCCATGGTGTCCCTGCCATGGCGACAGGGGTGGTGTAACTATGGAAGGTATTGTATGAAGGTAACATGCATGAAAGAAGATTAATGCGTGAGTTGGCATCAAGGCTGGCCGGGCTCCTCGAGACCTCCGAAAAGCGCGTGGTCTCCTTGGGCGTCATCGGCGCAAAGTACGACAGCGCCGTCGGACGCGCAGTCGCAGCAGCCGGAGGTGGCCGATCTGTGCAGATTCCCTTGACATCAAAAGAAGTGCCCTCCGTCGTTTCGAAAGCCTGGCAAGACCTCACCGAGCCGCTCGGCTTGAACGCCAGTGCAGTGGCTTCGAGCGGTTGGGTTTGGCCAGAGACGTTCTTCGATCTGCAGCTTGGAGATGAAGTCATTGTCTACAGCGGTGGCCAGACGGGCCTGCAAGCGCAAGCGCCAGAGCTTCAGATTGCTGGCAACACCGTTTCTGCCAGTGCCGTTCAGGCGCCAGCCGCATCCTTCGGTTCTCTGTTGTCTCGGGAAGCAACGAAGGCGCGCCTGGATCTCTTGGAATCCGAGCGCCAGCTGGCGCAGAGTGCCGATGCAGCCTCACAGATAGAGTTTCAGATTGTCGAGCTCTCCGAGACCAGCCGAGTCATGACGCCTCATACAGCCTTGCTTGTGCTGGAAACTGACGAGGACTATGTACGTTTTGACATACCTCAAGATCGCCTTTCCCCCATTTTGGTGGTGACGGCATCTGGAGTTCAGTTGATGTCCCGATCAAACATGCAGCTCCCAGCTCTGCCTGCCCCAATCGCTGCTGGGGACCTGCCCATAGTTGAACTGCCTCCCAACGAGACGGGCTCGAACAGCTCGAACGATACGGCCTGCGACGTGTCAGACGCCGCAGCATGTACCCAGCCAGAAGACATCTTCTCAGCAGATGATGCCGGGGCTCAACTGAGCGGAGATGAAGACGACTCGTACATTAGTTCCAGTGCTGGTGGCGGCACAAGAAGTAGCCTGAGCCTGTTTCTCGGTCTTCTAGTCTTCCTGATTTTGCAGCCCATGCAGGCAGAATGGGCCGACCCAGTCAAAGAAGCGGATAGAATCCTCAGCAAACACACCACACCTCCAAAGGAAAGGAACCGCGATACCGCGTCAAGCTACGCGGGAGCTCTGTGGACAAAGCGCCGCGTGCAGGACTTGCGCAACTTCTGTGCTACATGGATTACTTGGGACCCAACGAACGGTTTGGCTTTCGAATACATGAGCAAGGCAGGGCAGTACCAGGGAGATTCCTCCCTGGCCTTGCGGGCAGCGACGTCCATTGCGGAAGTGAGACCCCGAGACTCAGAGCAGCTTCTGCGGGCCTCCTGGCTGGCGCTCACCTTGGCCTCGGAGTCCCCCAAGGCGGCGGCCTACGCGCGGCGCTTCGCTCAGAGGTCCCTGGAGGAGCGAAGCGACAACGTGAACACCTACCGAGCGTTGGCCATGGCGGCCTTTGAAGAGCAGGACTACAGGTTGGCGGCCGAGACCTACGCGAGAGGCCTAGAGACCAGCTTCCATCAGAGGTATGGGGATGTCCAGAGAGTGCTCGAAGAGGAGGCCGCGCTCTTCCTACGTGCCTTGTATGCCTCCGACAAGACGAAGCCACTCTTTCAAGAGTTTTCCACGGGCATGCTGAAGACCTTGGACACCCAAAAAGGTGGCAGCATTGGACTCCGGATCACTCTTTCTTGGCTGACAGATGCAAACGACGTGGACTTGCATGTCATCGACCCCGACGGAAACGAATGCTATTATGCGAACAGAAACACCCCGTGGGGTCTGGAGCTTTACAGTGACCAGACCGCTGGCCTCGGGCCTGAGGTCGTGGTTGTAAGCAAGAAGAAAGGCACCTACAGGGTTGGTGTGAAGTACTTCAGCAGTGGGGCGATGGGCGCATCGAGGGGTACCGTGATCATTCGCCAGATTGACGGCGGTATATCCCAAGATCCTGTGATGGAAGTCTTCACGCTGCCCGCGGGGTTGAGCTCGGTGCTGGAGGTAGCTACTTTCACTGTCAAGTGAGAAGGGCGCCTTGCATGGCAGTAAGTCTCGTACGTGAGAGATTCTCCGATCTCTGTTCGCAGAAGCATGTTTTATGACCGCTCTGGGATCTCTGAGTCGAGAGGTACCCGGTCTGTACAGGAAGGCGCGGGTACTGCGGCAACACGACACTGACATTACGACAAGATTGTTTTCTGTACAGCCGACATCAACCACATGTCCCCGACATCCCCAATGAAAGTATGCACAACGAAAAGGACAGCTTGCATGGGACAGCCTAATAATCGAAGGACCCCACTCCTAGCTGGTGGCAGAAGTCATGCTTCGGGACCTTCAGGGTTTCGGCGTAAGGGAAGGGGCTTTTGGCTGCTGATCTGCCAAGTCCACAAGCTCTCAATGAACCTTCAACGCTGCTTTGAGCCCGTCGTGCCGAAATTCAAGTTTGTCAGGTGCAGGAGCCGCCAAGCCTCCGTGGAAGGCAGGAGTTAAGACGACGGGCAAGATCACGGGATGTGTTTTGGGTATGCGAGGGCATCTGAACCAGCAACAGCTACAATTGCACCGAACCCGGAACAGGGACTGGAATCTCGACAGTCTCGGCATGTTTCGGGATGCCATAAGCCTGTCTGTGACTAGGTGTTTACTCTCGCAGTCGGCACTTCGCGTGCAGCTGTGTTGAAGCCTAAGCCATGTCGCAGCTATAAGAGCTCTGCTGTGGATGCCAGAAGGCCCTCAGATGCGACCCGTCGTCTCAAATCCTTGCGCAAACTTCCGCGACTGCAGCCCCTCTGTATCCCTCCTTCTAAGCCATTCGAAGTGCTAGCAGCATGCACGACGTAAGTTGTAATTCAGCTCCGAAATTCTTCGACCTGCTCAGGCTCCAACTTCCCATCCAAAGTCTCTGTTTGCAACAGCCGCACCGTTCGCATAGACCATGACAGGTGGTGTAGCAGATGCCTGGGCAGCCGCTGCCTTCTCGAAGTGCACTCGACATCTGACGACGGCAAGGTGACTGCAGAGGTTTGGCTCTCCAGCCTCCCGGCTTCACGGTCGGGCGCAAAAAAGCAAAACAGAGCCACGGGTGCGCTGAGGAAGCGGCCTGCAGTCTCTGCGGAGCTTCAAGGGCTCCTACGATGCCCCTCGCCCGGCCTTACTTGCATAGTAGGACAGCACACCTCAACGTGTCTCGAGGCAGCATCGCGGACGTTGACGGGCTCTGCAAATGCTAGCCAGGAGAGATGCAGCTTACTGCTGTCGCGCCCATCCACCTCTCACATGCCGTTGAGACAGGACTCGACGGCTTGGAGCGATACTGGTCTGGAGGAGCGACGGGGTCTGTGCACACAAATGTGCGCTTGCGCTGCACAAATGGCCGCGTGAGAAGGAGATTTCGCTGACGCTGTCTGAAAATGGCTTGACGCTTTCCGGAAGCGCCGACTCCGAGGCGACTTCGTCATAGTCGTCATGGCCTTTGTAAAGCCTGCGGCCTGCGGCCTGCAACAGCAGGGCTCTAAACCGCTCCGACCGCTGCTCCTGTCTGCCTTTTGCAGGAAGTAACCTTTCAACGCCGGACCAGCTTCAAGAGCTACGTCTGGTGTGCCGTCGCGGCAGACGAGGGTGCATGGAGTCCACGTGGACAAAGACTGACTCCGAGATTGTGCAAAGGTGCTGGCAGTGAGAGCCTCGAAGCCAAGGACCTCGGAGCTGCTCGGTACCTGACATGGCTCTGATGGAAATATATCGAAATTAAATGTGACCTGAGCGCAGGACAGCCCAGTTTCTCGACAGGTGGTCCAGTACGGTAGGCAAGAGAAGGCCAGCATCATGTATTCTGAGGTTTCTCCGAGCTGTTCGTGTCACCGTGATTTCAGGCCGGCGACGAACTGATTCTGGGGCTCTCCAAGGCATCCCCCCTGGCGCCAGTCTTTGTGGAAGCCTTCCTCAAGCCCAGCGGCCTGGCCCAGGCACGGCCAGGGAGGGCTGCTGAGAGCTTCGGCTTAGCATAGGACAGCGGAGCCCTATTGTGAGGAGCAAGGCGTGCGACCGGGTTGGTACCTGGCCATGATCCTCAGAGCGTACAGCGGGGTGCAGCATTGCCTCGGTCGTTGGCTCAGCCTCAGGACTTGGACGCCACTCTCTTCGGTCCGGCCTCTGAGTCGGAGACGATGAAGGCCCAAGGCTTCAGACGTCTCATTCTTTGCAAATTTTGGGCTCGAAGCCTGCAGGCAATCAAGGCCGAGCTTGGTGGCGACTTCCCAGACAACTTGGAGGATGCTTACAGGCATTGCAGAGGTCAAGGCACGTCACGGTTCCACTTCTGTCTTCAGCAGGCAGATCCACACCTTGTACAAGCGCCTTTGCGACTGGCTGGCAAGACCAGGCTTAGGCACTCTTCTCAGCCTCCCAGCCATCATGAAAGTGCAGTACCAGTGCAGGCAGTACAGCTGTGCCCGTTTATCAACAAGTGACAGTGAAGCAGTGAAGGGACGCGGAGAGCCTGAGCCTGGCTGGAGGTCTGGTCTTCTGCAATGCCGTGAAAGCAGAGCTGCTGCCGGCATGCCTGGTTCGTTTCGTCGGCAGCCCAAGGCACATGCTGCAAGACTCATGGCGATGAGCATGTGTTTGCATGCGTTGTCTGTACGGCACAGTGCTTCTGCGAGTAGGCAGCAGCTGGGAGAGATGATGGAAGGCGCCCGGCCAGCAGTCATAGAGACGGGGGGTTGTGCCTCAGTGGACCCAGTTTGCAGATGGCACCCTGACTGGTGACGGACTTCTTCGCAGCAGCCCGGCACACATGGCAGGAGTTCGTGCGACTTGGCTTGAAGATGTAACTTCCTGGTGCGCACGTGCTGCCCGCAGCTTCTGCAGCAGGGTGGATGGCAGCTCGATGTGCAGAAGAGCGCCGAGCTGGCATCTCTGAATATTGAAAAGGCTTGGCGGTCCATTGCCAGGAGGACAGAAGGTCACCTCATTGGCCTGTGAGGTCAAGGAGACGAGTGAGGCGATTGCGGAAGTTCTGGGCGGCGATTCCGAGAGGGTCCTGGCCTTTTCCTGTCCGGAGGGGGACGATACATGGGAACTGCAGGCCATGCAGTGTGGGAAAAAACGTTTTCAAACCAACGGGGAAGATGTAAAGATTCAACAATGCTTTGAAATTCTGCCACTGCCTGGCAGGAAGGTACAGATTGGATGGAGCCTTACCTGCTGCCCGGAGCAGACACTGTGGCGATCAGGCGCATGATCTCAACATCCCGTGTGCCTGTAGCAGTGCCCGGTTGGCCTCGATGGAGTCTGTTCCACTGCCTGACAGGATTGAGAGCAGTCCAGGCGAGGCAGAACGGGCAAGTAACGGCTGGTTGGAGCTGACAAGTTTTGGCTCGGAACTTTGCAGGGAATTCTGACGAGCAGCACCTCCTCGTGGTAGCAGTTCCCACAGGCCCGGAGTCTCAGTCCTCGAGAATGTGGGGCCGCAATAGCATCGGCATTCAAAGTCCGCAGCGGTAACATCATCCACTTACTCCGCAAATGTCGGCCTTGAATCGTTGGACGGGATGTTCAGACCACTGACGCTCGCAACATCTCGCAACGCTTGGAAGCCGCCCGCTTCAGTGTGATGCGGTCAGTGGCAACAGGCGATGAGCTGGTGAAGCCATCGGCAGAGCAGTTGCAGAAGCTTGCGAACAGCTCCCGCCTCAGCGGTTCCTTCGCGAACGTAGAGCTGAGAAACCAGCGTTGCCAAAGGCTGGGAAGGAGCCTGTGATGGATTCTACGGGCTGAAGGGAGAAGAGGCATGATACCGGTCAGGGAGGTCGATCTCGAGTGCCAGTTCTTCTCAAGTTCTGTCAGTGTCCCTGGACCAAGTCTCATGCCTAGCTTCCGCACGGCTGTATGCATCATCTAGCAGTGTGCATGCACAATTGCTTCTACCCAGAGTCAAGAAGAATGGACAACATCAGCCCCTTGACTCTGCGGGTCGAGACGTGGAGGTGACGGTGGAGAGGGACAGCTGGGATGAAGTGCGACTGAGGGTTCCCTTGCTGCAAAGGGGAGACTTGAAAAGCGCCTCCCTGCTGCTTGGAGCTGGAGGCCCTCTGTGCCCATCACGGCTGGGACTTCTCATGGCCGCCGCCTCACTGCCATGGTGTGTCACAGAGTGCCTTGCAAGAGCTGTCGGAGGATGAGCGAAGACGATGAACGCCGGAGGCGCATCGTCGAGGCCGGGACGGGGAATTCTCGTCGAGGCGTGTCGCGGTGCGTCGCACGTCGATCGCCTTTTGGCACAGGGCTTCGCCGGCACTTAGCTCCGCGGCCACGGCTCGCTGTGCCGTGGAGCACTGGCGGGGCATCTCCTCAGATTGCAGGTTGGGTGATGGTCTTGTAGATCCCGTGCCGGCTCTGGCCGGCTGTACGATACTGCTAATGCACCTTTGCTGGAGTTCCAAAGTGTGGACGTGCCAAGCAATGGAAAAAAGGTCGGCTGCTCCGAGCGCTGTCTTGCTTGCCTAAAAACCAGCACGGAGATACTGCCACGCATGCTGGCCCAGAGACTCCGATTCCGCCTTTCTCTGGCTCGCCTGGCTCGCAGATGATTACCTCAACCGGGCTTGGCACCCCGGGCCGGGCCGTGGTGAGATCCTCAGAGGCGTTTGCCGGACTTACGGAGAGTCCGTCGTTTCAGGTGGTTAACTTGCATGCGGCAGAGCCGGTGCAGCATCATGGGGCTGAGGAGCACCGGGGCCAATGCCGTTGTTTCATGGCGGATTCTGCGTGCAGGTATAAGAATTCTGCCTGCAGATCGGGGCAAGGACACAGCGACGAAGATGACCTGTTCCGAAGATCCTTCTCTAGAGGTGCTGAGTGTGGAGAATGATAGTGGAGAATGATAGGGACGACTTGATGCCGATGCCTAAATGTGTTGTCTGCAGACACGTGCAGTTGAGTTGATTGACGGGAGCAGGCCCCTCTGCCGCGGAAGGATGAGAAAAACACCCAGGTGCCTATATGTGCCCTTGAGAGCCTGCCACGCAGCAGTCACTCACGCAGGGTCTCATGGTCATTGACCTGGCCCTTGAGTTGCACAGACGAGCAAAGGCGCGTCGATGTGCAGCGAGATCACGAGATTCGAAAGAGCTCGGGTGACATGACAGGACTTTGCCATGGCGGGTGATACCCTCCGGGCAAAGGCGTCTGGTGCCCAAGCTTCCATCTTCCCTGCCTCGATGCCTTCCGATGCTCATGTGAGCCAAAGGCTTGTTGAAAGTAGTATCGACCAGCTTGTCACCGTCCCGACCTCATCGCACAGCGCTCTCGCGCTCTCGCATGTCTCGCGACGCTCTTGGCCAGGCCAAAGGCCTGGTGCCGGGTGGGCGGATCCTCCAGCTGCTCGATGGACTGCTCGAGGAAGGGCGGTGTTTCGTCCACTCCCGCAGTGTTCAGCTTTTCCTGCAGATTTCTCTGCAGGCTTGGCACACGGAGGGCATCGTCCTGCAGGCTTGGAGACGGAGCTGTCGAGGTGTGGCTAGGGTCTAGGGTCGGCTTGCCAGAGGCCGAGGACCACGACACCGTCGCGGAGCTCGAGAGCTGCGTGGCAGATGCGCTTCGCAAGGCGAACACCAAGGGCTAACAGTACTGGAGCTGCCTTGACCAAGCACTGCCAGAGGTCGCGAAAGCACCGGTAGTAGCGGCAGCAGCAGCAAAGCTAGTGCTGGGAGGCCGGGAGTTGTGATGTGCCATTTTTAGGATCTCGGTCGTCCGAACCTCTCAGGCTGCGGTACCACACCGAGCACAGCCTCCGATGCAACAACTGCACGAGGTGCCGCAATATTGCTGCTTTTGAGCAACCAGGTTGTTGGCATTATTGCTGCTGTGAACTAGAGGTGAGGTCATCTGTGTCCAGTATGGAATTTACTAGGGTAGCGAGATAGCGGCCGCACGAAAAACGAGATAGGCCATCATGTTCATGTTACATATATTGAATGTATTGACGTGACATACATGACGGAAGTTTGCAATTCGCTTTGGTTCGCGACTCGAGCTGGCCTTCCCTACCGACCATTCACAGGTTAACACGTAATCGGCAAGTTGATGTCATCTTGCTGTCCTTTTTGGGGTATGCGGTTGGTGTCACAGAAATGAGTGGTCGGTAGCCTGTTCCAAACGAGATCTACCCTGCATCTACACGATCCAAAATCGTAGCCTGAGTCACCATAGAAGCCCATGGCCGAACTTTTGCTGGCCTGAAGAAAAACGAAAGGAAGCCCGTCCCTTGCCATGTCAGCCTAAGAAGCAGATGAGAGATCTAAGGATGAAAGAGCACTGGCCACAATGACACTATTTGAGCTTATGTCTGCATGCCCATACTTCAACAAAACCACAGCACTTGACTGCTACGCTCAGCAAGACCCATGTAAAGGCAAGCGCCATAGGAGCCGCACATCTCACACAACAAATAGTTGCAGTCGCTTGAAAGCAGGTATGCATGCATGGAAGATGGACCGTATGGCTGTAGAATAGACCCACGCGCGCTTTTGCTCCTCAAGTCCATTTTGCAGTTGTGTATTCTGAAATCCACGGTCTCAACGTGGTCGAGCCGCGGAGGCGACTGCATTCCGATTGATCCGAAGAGCGGTGGCCTCCTCAACGCGGCGGTTGCAGCAGCAGAAGCCGGAAGCTCACCGAACTTGCAGAGTGCTCTCCGAGCTACTGCATGGAGAGCTTTTTTGCTCCGGTTGAGGCAAGGGTGGTGGATGATGGTGCCAGTGGTGTGGATTGGGATGCAGGCTTGGCCGTTGCCTCACGACGTGGATGATCGATCGCCTGCTGAGCAGGCAGTAGCCGCATTTCCTCCCAGCAGCCTACGCCTGTGGGCTCACCAGAGCCTCGGAGCCCACCCTCTGAGTTGGAGGAGCCATGTGCTTCGTCTGCAGCTTCAAGCCTGGGGTCATGGCACGGCATTGCAGGTGGCAATGGAGCCTGCAAAGAACCTCCCGCCGAGCAGCAGCCGCATAGAGGATTCTGGCAAAGTAGAGGCCAGCATGATCCACCTTAGGCGCAGCATGCGTCTGCTCATCGCGCCCTCAGGTGCAACATCTGCAGCCTGTGCGGCGCTTAAGCGCAAAGTCTTTTTGTGGAGGAAAGGAGTGGCCGTGAGATGCCGTGAGTCAGGTCGAGGAGCCGATCCTCTTTGATCGAACTCCAGGAGGAGGAGCGGCGCTGGTTCCCGCCGTCACCTCAGCGTCGCGGCACCACGGGCCAAAAAAGTCGCACAACCTGAGGCCGGCATGCCTTCAGAGGTGGTCGCAGCACAGGCACGGTAGGTACCGATGAGCACACGCGGGCGGGGTGTGCTTTTGCGCTTGCAGGCAAAGCGCGGGGTTAGTGCAAAGAGGTGGCCGAAGCGTGAGCTTCCCAGACCCTCGGACCACATCTGACAGATCTGTCGATGCCGAAACGTGGACCTCCTTTAGACAGGTTGGCTCTTTGGCCTCTGCTGGAGCAAGCACACGGTGCCTGGAGAACCTTCCACGCAGAGGTGTGGAGCACTCAGGGAAGCAACTGAGACATCCCAGCAACAGAGGCTTTCAATGCCACCACCTATCTGAAACCCAACCCGCCCACACTGAGGTCAACTCCGCCTTGCACGAGACTTCCACCGAGGGGATCTCATCGGTGCCGGCAGCTACGGTGTGGCCCTGGGTCCGCCCGTGTCCAGAGACTCCGAGCGAGAGGGCAGAAAGTGGCAGGCTGTGTTTTCGCAGCTCGGCGGAAGACGACGGGGGAGATCATGGCGGTCAAGGCCTAGGCCCTGAAAAATGCTCTCGAAAGACGTCGCGACTTCAGCAGGAGATGCTCTTGGACCGGGCTGGGATCACCAAAGTAGAGCGCAGCGAGCGGTCGTGGACTCTGAGCAGGGAAGGGCCGGGCGGTTCCGAAGCGTCTGGCAGAGGAGTTCAGTTGCAACCACGTGCCACATGGCACAATAAATGGCGGTGCTGCGTCTGCACTCGTGCTCAAGACAACTTGAAAACAGACTGAAACAGACTGTAGCAATTGCACGTAGGCTCGTGAAGCTGACCCGCGAGCTGCGGCTCTGCGAGCAGCCGTCGCCTTGGGAGCCGTCGGCTTGCGCGCGGCTTCGGCATGCAGCGGGCTTTCCTGCACACTCTCCGCGCCTGAGGCTGGAGCACCCCTTCATCGTGAGCTACTTTGGCCACGAGTTTGTCATGGGAGCTCAGGGCGGCTATGGCCTCGGTGTAACAGCCAGTGGCTGCACATCCGCAAGCCGAACAAAAAGCCGCTTCAAAGCCAAAGGGATGCAAGTAGACAGATCGGATGTCGAAACCGAGGCCCCGAGAAGTTGCACCTCTTCCTTGAGTACTGCAGTGGCGGAAGCCTCGCTGCGCACTGCCATCCTGCTTTTGCCCAGTAAGGGAACAAATCCAGGACTTCGCACAAGTGTCCCCGTCGGGAGATGGCAAGCCGTTGTTTGCCAGGCAGCTCCGTACCTACGGGCCCGTCAGTGAGGAGTTGCTCAGGACGGATGCCTCCCTAACCAAAGACCCCGAAGCGAGCCCAAAGTGCGCTACGAGAAAGGAAATATACGCAACAGCTGGTCGGTGGCCTGATGTATCTGCACTCTCGGAGCCCACCCGTCGTCCACTGCGACCTGAAATGCCCCTCGGCTGTGGCAGTTCTGTTGTCTCCAGAAGCAGAGACTAGCAAGACGAATCGCATTTGGAAGCCGAGGCGCCAACGTGTTGCTAACGCACAGCGGGGACGCCAGGACCACAGGCAACAAACAGAAAGATCGCGAGCTGCATCAAGCCACTGCCGAACAAACAGCAGGGTTAGCTTCTGTCGCAAGTTGACTGCCAGCAACATGGAGCGAATCGCTGAATTAGCCGCCTGCGCCGACAAGCGGAGGTAAGAGCATTCTAGGTGGGCAAGCTTGAGATCGGTGCTTGAGGTTAAGATCGCAGACTTCGGCTGCTCCAGGCCGCAACCTTTCGTGCCAAGAGAAGGTTTCAGTTTCCCGAGCCTGTGACAAAGCCCAAGTCCGTGAGAAAGCGGCCAAAGCTCACAAGCAGCATGAGTTGAGCGCCCAATCAACTATCCCTCACCCCTCTAGCTGCTTTTGCATGTTGTTTCTGCTCCGGATCGAACGGCATTGACATTGAACATGAAAGTCCTTGGTGCTTCCCGCTTGCATACCTAGAAGCAGCCGAGAAGTCTTAACAGACCCACCTGGGCCTAGCCACTGGATGGGGCTGGTCTTTTGAGAGAGGAGCCGCAGGCACAGCAGGCCAATGCAAAGAAGCAAAGCAAACGTTTTAGATCCTAGGGAGAATCCGAAACTGTGAGTGCGACTGTCAGGTCCCAGCCCAGTTTGTCCTCTCGTCTGGGGCGATTGAATTGCTCTGTAGTAGGAATGGGAGGAGCCGTCCCTTCTGGTCAGAAGCCTTTGCACGGTCAGCATCCTTTTCCCATCAATCTCTTCGAGAGTGCTTGGCTCGATGTTGCATGTGACAGGTGGATTCAACCTGGCGAAGCGGTCTTGGAGGCGGCTGTTCAGTTCTTGTGTCACATGGCTATCACACGCAGAAGTCAGTGCTCCACAGCCGACCCTGCTCCGCTAAGAACTCCGTCGCGGGCTCTGTCTTCTGGATGGCTGCGGTCTCGGCATCATTCGGCGATGCTGAGGGAGGTTGGGGGTAGGGGCAACTCGGCAAGAAATTGAGGCACCGGAACTTTTTCGAGGGCGCGGCAAACTGACGACTACCTCGGATGCTGCCCGGCTTTGACCATTGAGACGATGAAAACCAAACACTGTGAGCAGCCGCAACTCAGATCTGGTCCCTGGGCTGCTGCGTCTTGGAGATGGCCACTGGCAGTCCTCCTTGGTTCGAAAAGCGTTTCGACAATATCCTCCAGGCAGTTTTGAGGAGAGCGAACTAAGCCGTTAGGAGTGGCCCGCAGGGGTCGTGGGGCCCTGTTGATGAGGCTTGCCATGTCATCGCGAACTCGGAAGAGTTGCCGGCTATACCGGCAGAGCTCTCCAAGCAGGCCAGGTCTCCAGGAATTCTCCAGGTTTGATGCAGCTGCATGAAGAGGGCTCCTGACAAACTCCAAGAACAAGCCTCAAAGCCCCCATCTCAAAAAAGGAGCCTTCCAAGCATCCTTCACAAAGCCTCAACAGCTGTCAAGCAAGCCTTCGAGCCTTCAAAATCATTCCAAACCTTATCCGCAAGCCCTCAACAAGCCATAACCAGGGCCCTCAAAGCTAAAACCCCTCGAACAGCCCTTAAGAACCCTTGAGTGTGCAGGCCTCCACATTGATCTGCGTTTGCTTAAAGCGGAACCCGCAAGAGCGGCAGGGGCCCTGAGGAGAGCATTCGACTGGCTTCCACGGCTCTGCTCATGCTGAGGCCGACGGCTCTTGAGCTGAACAAAAGCAAGATGTTGCGTGCCTGACCGGGTAAGAGAATTACCCGCAGCCCCGTGTTGATGAGATGAGTTGATTTTTCCTATCAGCAGACACCTCTCCGACCACGGCCTGCGGCTCGCGGGTCGGGGTCCTGGAACCTCAGGGCTGTGGTCTGCACACTTGGCTGTGTGTCGGCGCCTTCGATCAAAGCAGATCGCAAATCGCCGCTGTAGAGTTAGTAGACGCACGGCGAACACGTAGCGCAGCTCAATTCATCCAGCCGAGTTGGGCGAGTCTTGGCCACTTCTTTACACGAGCCGTGGAAGCGGACACAAGCCGCTCGTAGAATGAAACAACACTACAGTTTGCAAGCAGTGCGAGTTCTCTTTTTGTGCCAGGTGCAAAATGCGTCCATAATCTGCTGGTTGCATGTTGCCGTTTCACTTTGCTGCGCTTTCATTCTCTTTGGAGATCATGCTGGAGAAGTGCGGTGAGTCAAACTGTCAAATGTGGTGTAGTGCTGGCCAGATATATGGACTGCGCTTTTCCATTCAAGACACGACGTTGACACAGCGTTGCCACGGACCTGGCAGTTCCGTGGCATCTGACCAAGACACAAAGCATCATAGCGCGCGATGCGGAACATCCAGATCCAGTCCTGGACGATCGCTTAGCGCAGACAGGCTGGTTCCTCCGCAGTGACAGCAGTCGGAGGGCAGGGCTTCTACCCCCATTAATGCATGATTCGCTGATATTTCATGTCGCACGGCAGAGTCAAAACAGCAGCGGCAGGAGTTAAGCCCAGTAGCTGCGGAGCAGTCGCAGTATTGCTCCTGAACAGACTGGGAAGCAACGCCGTCGCATCCGAGAAAGAAACATCCGGCCAAATATGCCGATTAAACTGCTGCGAGCATGCTTGTCGCAGGCACCTTGCAGGCTTGTCCGTGCCTGGAAGACATTGGCTTGAGGTCCCCCGAATTATAGTGATGTTGCTGCAGCTGTAGCCAGCACTGGTGCCTCATGATTCGGGGGGCTTTCCACTACCAAATGGTAAAGCTGTGCGAGCCGTATTCAAGATTAAATGCGCCCCAAGCTCCGCTTCTTGTAAGTGTAGGCATTCTGGGCATCTCATGAGCTTCTAGATGCTGCCGTCATAGGCCATAGGCTTGGTGGCCCTGCGCAGCAACAAAGCTTGGCTTCGTCAATGCCGCCAGCATCTCTCTCCACCGCCTTACAGACAGCATAGGAGTTTATGCCAACGGTTAAGCACGGGACTTCCAGCCATGCATGTCTGGCGTCATGAGGCCAAATCTCCAGAATTAATGATGGATGCCAATGCCAAGATAACTTAGGTGTAGTTTGAGTCTGCTCAGACATGGTCGATTAGTGCAAGGGACGTTGCTCTGGTTTTACTTAACGATGCCCAAAGTCAAACATCCCGAGACGTCTTGATGCAGGAGTGCCGGAAGTTTGGAAACCAATCCAGACGGACACATCGTTCCAGCCTCGTTCCTGCAGGTCGGACATTCGGTTTAGCATTGGGTCGAAGGGTTGGGCCAGCACAGCTCAGCCCAGCAACGTTATGCTAGACTGCATCTGTTGCACTGAACAATTTTGGTTGAAGATTTGGATGTCGCCTCTTACTGTCAAGAAGGTCGCTGCATTGAGATCATCTCTTCCAACTACGACGTTTGTGGTGCTGCGTGATTGTCTCGTTTCGGATTTGGGTTCCAGGCCATCCAGCAGAAAATGGCCAAGCCATCAATGGTATGTGCTCCCAAAAGAAACATGGTGTCTTTGCCCACCGGTAGCCTGTGCATCGAAGCGCTCCGCAACAACAGACTGCAGCGCGGTCCCTGCCTCATGTTGCAGCGCAGGGGGCGGGCCAGCAGCACCGAGTCTCGACTGGAGGGGGGAGCTCCACGAAAGTGGCGGCGAGCGCGCGCTGCGCCGCAACGGAGATGTACTACATCGGAGAACCCACGCAGCCTGGGCAGAGCTGCGAATTGCGACAACGCGGACGAAGGTGGCCACTGACCGTTGCAGGCACCCGGCCGCTCCTCGCATGGCGGGCCTTGGAGGGAGAGGTGGCCACAAATTTCTTCAGCCGTTGCAGACTTTCGGAGACCCGTTTGCCTCCACGACCGGAGCCAGCCGTTGCGGACTCGTAACAAACACTTTCGCAATCGCGGGCTGTTGCCACCCTTGCCGCCGAGCTCCGCTCACCAGCTGGCCCGCTGTCGGGGCCAGCGCTCTCAACCATACCAGGCGAACATAGTTAACCAAGCGACACCTTGACTCCACAAGCCATGCTTCTGTCATCTTCTGGCCCTGCGATTGCTTTGGCTTGGGACCTCAGCAGTGAGACCTAAACTCGGGACATGGCCGAGCGGTCGATGCATGTGGGGATTCGCTGACGCCGCTATATGTCTGTGGATCCACGGCCAAGGATGGAGCTCGTCGAGGCGATGCTCGTGTCAGAGCTGACGGGCTCGTTTAGCTCCTCATGTCACTGACCAGTGGGGCGTGTTACTGTGAGCCGCATTCGCTTGCCACTCCCGCTTGCAGTTGCCGGGACAGGGGGCGCCTCGATGCCCTGGGGAAACCAGGCACTCAGTGCAGGTTTTGCCGGACGTGTCGTTGCACGACGCACGGTACATCGAAGTTGTCACACGCTGACACAACAACTCCACGAAAAGTGGCAGGCTTGCGCGCTGTTCCAGCACGGCCTCAGCACCAAGGCGGTGCCGGAGGCCCTGGCGGGCGATGCGAGCAGAAGGCGACCCTCGGACCACAGCACGTGTTGAGCGTCGACGGTGTCGGCGCCTACGACCACATCTCCCGACGGTGCATGCTTCTCCCCGTCGCGGCACTGTGCTACGGCTCCCCGAGCACGTATGTCTTCTACGACGAGGAAGGCATAGAGAACGAAGTGCAAGACGACGGCAGGCAGGGCAGGGCAGCATTTGTGACCACCTCGCGGTGCCGAAGCATCGGTTCGGGCGAGAGTGAACGTGGCTTGCGTGGCTCGCCTCTGCCTCTATGTCTATACTGCTCCAAAGCTTCATCGGTGCTTTCGCGTGCCCTCCAAAGATTCTGCCACTGTCAACCGGCGTATTGGTGCAGAGCGCAATTTTGCTGTCGGAGTGTGGGCCAGGTACCATCAGATACGCCTGGCGACAGGCTTTTCGCAGCCTACCTTTGCGTAACACGAAGACATGCAATTTCACGCTTTGGAAAGGGGTGACGGTTTTCCTTGATTCCAGCCATAATTTGCCCTTTTGACAGCTTTTACCGGTTTATCGTATATGGGATCCTCTGTGTCACTCACCTGCCCGCCTCCCTGCTCGTGTTTAGAGCCGCCTCCGTTTAGGCCGCAGCTACCGTTATTGTGCGGCGGCAGACGCAACGACTGAGCCCGACAGGGGTGTGGGGCTCGCTTCGCCGGGACGACGTTGGTGTCCACAGCTATCTGTGTGGCAGACCGCTAGGCTGGCAACTGCCTCGACGCACCGCTCATCGGCAACAGGCACATCACGGTGTCAAGCCTGATGTGGCGGGCGACCATGGCGCTTGCCACGGGACGAACCTGGGGCAGCTGCACGTTGGGAGCATGCCCACGTCCGACTCAATGCTGGACAAATCCGCATCTGGCACAAACACTCAACTGCTTCTTTTTTCAGACATCCAGCCTCTGTGTTCAAAACACAGCCTTACAGGCCGGCTCCCTCCAGTGTAGATTGTCAGGGCCGGCATGGGAAGGACTGAACCAATGGCTTCAGTGAGCGAGTCATGTGTGCCTCTGCACACACACCTCTTTGACAAGGTCTGTGCAACATAACGTCGCTGGCGAGCGTGGGGGCATCAGCTAACGCTACGACCGGCAGGCTGCGCAGCGTCAGACGCCGCCAAGGAGTGTCGAAGCCAAAGCGCGCTGCAATGCACTACTCACGCGATCCCACCCCGCGCAGGCAGCAGCTCGCAGCGCCGACGGCGCGCGCAGGCAACACTGTCGCGTCGCGTGAGGCGTCGGACGTTGCGCGCCCCTCGCACCTCTATAGCGACTGCCGCCCTCCGCAGCCAGCGCGACCAGGCGTTGCGGGCATGGGCAGGACACTTCCGGGTAGCGCCGTTCTTTGCGCTGCCGTGCGATGTCGATGGCAGTCCCATCCCGATCCGACGAGGCCACTGACGAGGCCGGTTGCGGGCGCCCGTCTGCGTGCAGCATGCTGGGCAGCATGGACGCGCTGCCGGTCATCCGCTCCCGCCTCCCGCCTCCCGCAGTCTGACTGAAACATTGGCGGACCGGCCTCTTGCCTGCGAAAGGCAGCGGCGGCGCGCTTCCACTGGCGGAAGGATGGGACAGCTGCCCCACGTGGCGCACCAAATACGACGGCGCATGACGGCGCAACGGGCTTCCGGGGCACTTCTGCGCTCGCCAGGCGGGCCACATGGGGGGGCTTGGCTGGCAGCAGTGCCCAGCGAGCCAGCACTCACACTGGCCCCACAAACCATGCAGCTCGCACTGCGGCGACGACTGTGCTTGCCCCTGCCCTTGTGCCTCAACCGTTGCGGACCGGGACCAGGTTGCGGCCAAAGGGTAGTCGCTTGCGAGGACCATGCCCTTGCCTGCCCGCGAACAGGGTTGCTGGCCCGCCGCGCTAAAATCGTGGAGCGCGCAGAGTGGCTCGCGAGGCTGTGTGGCCCGCGAGACGGTGGGGCCCGACAGGCAAGTTGTTCACGGCGCTGGGAGTGCCATCCAACGACCGCCGACGGCTCGACGTCGCGTATGGAGCGGCGCCATGTGGGGGTGCGATGTGCTGCGACACAACCCTGGTCTCTCCCCTCACCCGAGCAGGGAAACCAAAGACGGGTGCCGCTGACAATGACGGCGCCGCGCTCCGGGTCGCCGAGCGTCGCAAACAGTCGGTTTTGTTCAGAACTCAGGTAAGGCGGGCCACGACAGCTCGTGCTGGGTTCGGAGGTCGCTGGAATACCAAACCCAACGCTTCTTGCGCGACTTGCTCCCAGGCCGGGCGCGACGAGC